TATTTATGATCAATCATAATAAACTGTAATCAAAACCTCATTTTAATGAATGGTAATGTTCATGCATTTTTGACATTTACATATGATACGCATCTATGAAACATACGTTACCGATCTAAATATAGAATTAGTGGCCTTTCAAATGTTCGCGAGTAACTACACTATCGTTGTAAATGAACTATAGTAATAATTAATGTATACTGTAGAAAGGCAGTACTAATGTGACAAACTGGTATTTTTTAATTAGCCTACATTATATATCTAAAATAAATACTAAAAGTCCAGGCAGGTGCTGGTAAATTGTATGTCTTATTGCTTTGTACTCAAGTATTTTAATATCCGAATTGGTGAATTGTAATTGTATTCAAGTGACATTTTTTGATTGAAGAAGATCAGCTGTGATTATTCGGGTAAAAATTACGATACCGCTGTTCTACTGTTTAGTCAGTATCGCACATTTATACATGTAAACTCGCCAGCTCTTCTACTAGTATATATATATATATGATTTGATTTGATTCGGTTAATATATACCTAAAACATGAGAAAAACACGTAACAAACAGCTAGAGCTAGTCTCGAGGGTCTGAATCCACCACAATTCTGTGTCGCAGAGATTAGACGCCCGCGATGCAACTAATAGAGACAGTGCCTAACCTTGTGTCTACTGCTGCCATACAAAACAAGCACCAAGTAATTGTACAGTGTATAAAGTATGAGGCATTAACATTGTACACGCCGAATTGGATTTCGCAGACACACCGGCGACACGTACATGCACAAGTAGCCGCTGTCCATTTCTAACAATTACAGCGTATATGAATAAAATACAATCTTTTAAAGCAATGAGAAGCCGTATCTGTGTTTGAATTATACTTAATACAGAAATGACTGCGAACTAAAATAATGGATGACTCTCAGTCGATACAATAGCACTAGTTATTGTCAGTCAGAGTAATCGGTGGAGAAACTCGTATATAATAATGTAACAATAAGCCAACAAATTTATTTCAATAGATTGCAATGTCGCAAATTACAGGAATGGTATTAAATGCTGTATTGACAATAAAAATCTGATTTTACTGAATATGTGCATATTTACAATCTTACATTTCGACAAAACTAAATGGCGTATTCATCTGACCTGCCCTTTAGAAATGAATATTTGCTTTTATTATATAATGTTACGATAGATGGTGAGTTTTCTGAACAGCCAAATGCGCAGACAGCGATCATTGTTTCCCGTGAAGCCACGTAATCACCAGGCAATTTCTGAATTGATTAAAAAGTAACATATGTGAGTTATGTATTGGCAATAATCAATATTCTGCAATGTTGATATCATATATGACATTTGCACATTATATATATATGTATAAAGCACTGCGGAATAAAAGCAGAGTCAGGCGAGGTAGTTCCAGAACCATCCGGACTAGGTAGTTCTAGAACTGAATCGAGTTTGTTCAAGTTAGACTCTAGAACTGTTCGTAGAATTCATCTGAAAATCTCTAATGATGACTGTGAGAGCAACTTCAAATTTAAATTATTGTCTTATTTATGTCTGCCAAGTAGTGGGGTTTTGTTTTACTGACTGAGCTAAGCTTATGGTTAGTTATTGAATGCAATGAGTGCATCGTAATAAATAAATAAATAAATAAATAAATAAATAAATAAATAAATAAATAAATAAATAAATAAATAAATAAATAAATAAATAAATAAATAAATAAATAAATAAATAAATAAAGAAAGAAAGAAAGAAAGAAAGAAAGAAAGAAAGAAAGAAAGAAAGAAAGAAAGAAAGAAAGAAAGAAAGAAAGAAAGAAAGAAAGAAAGAAAGAAAGAAAGAAAGAAAGAAAGAAAGAAAGAAAGAAAGAAAAAAATATATAAATAAATAAATAAATATTTGGTGTGGTGACTGATATGTAAGTGATACAAATTTTCAATCAAATAGGTGGTAATTCTAGAACATACCGGTAATATGTTTTTACAATTAGGGATGTTTTAAACTGAATATCAAATGAGCAGTCTACTATTCTGTGTTTTGTGTGTGTGCCTCGAAGTTACTCTGGATCGTGTGATATCTATAGGCTTATGAACCAGTTTGCAGAAGTTTTTCATAAGTTGAATATACGTACTTGTATTTGTTGTGTTTCTGAAATATCTTGTACGCACGTATATCAAGATGTTGTAAATTTTGTCTAACTTCATTGTGTGAGTATGACCTTGAATGACAACAAGTTTCCATATTTTTCGAACATTTCGTAACTTGTAATGGTTGCGTGGCTGCTTACATTACACAGAGAAGTGTAACACTGCAGCTGCTAATTATTCCGACTAAAACTGCATATACTATCTTGTGACAGGGCGCGATTCGTCATCGTTACCCCCCCCCCCTCTCTCTCTCTCTCTCTCTCTCTCTCTCTCTCTCTCTCTCTCTCTCTCTCTCTCTCTCTCTCTCTCTCTCTCTCTCTT